GAAAAAATTAACTATATTCGTCAATATGCTTGTTTAATACATCGTCTATTCTATGTACAATTACGAGAAAGTCAATGGAAGTATTATTATGATATTGGTATGCAAGAAAATATTTGGTTCGGCCTCGTAGCAAAAAAATGGGCTGCTATGAATAGTATGCATCATACTTATGGTCGCTCAAAAACATTAATCGTACAAAGTCTAACAACTCTTCAACGACAACTTCAAGAAGCATCACAAGCATTACAAGAGTTTGGCAATCCACCATTACCTCAATGTCTATCTGAAATGAAGCCTTCATTAGATTTTACAACAATGTCAGCAATGGTTACAGTTGTTGTCGGACAAGGTGAACATAAATTAAAGCACCAATTTGAATATAATAAAAAAATGTTAAAATTAGACTCAACAGATCATCGTTTAGTACAATATGTTTATGATTTGAAACCTAATAAACAACAAATTCGTTCTATTCGTAATATATGAAAAGCAATTTATAATAAAAAAGCTTGTTTGCGCAGCTCCTTTGGAGCTGAAATGTGAAACTTTCGTATATCCTTCAAACCTATTATCCTAATGCATCATTTGTAAACTAAAAAATAGTTGTTTTCCAATAATTCTGAAAGCATTGAAATATTGTATAGAATCTGAAGTCTTTTGTGTGCGGTTGCTAGATCTGTAATGGGGGGTATGTCTGTAACTTTCTCTTCCGTTTCTATGGGTCTGTAATGAGGTGAGGGGGAGCCGGAAAACCTTGATCTTAAAACTTACACCCACTATTTTCTTCGAAAATATACGTGAGTTTTACAAAACAAATGAAAGAACAAATTCAGATATTAAAACATCGCATCCATTCGAATTGTTTACCATCAGCATTCAATCTTCTTGATTATTCACTTAATAAAATTGATAAAATACTTAACCGATCGAAACAATCTTCTACTAATGATGATGATAACAAGCAACAAACAATATTATCTGCTCGTCGTTTAAAAAAAATTGACCGATTTAAATATGATATGCTTGAATTAAGTATAGCAACTGGTGAAGAAAAAGTACGCTATTGAAATAAAATAGCGAAAAATGGAAAAAATAAATTGGTAGCTATTACCGATAATTAAAGATAAACAATTCAGATTCAGATATATTCAAACAACTAATGGTAGCTATTGAAGCACGTGAAAAATATATGATCGAACGATCTGATTATATTACACAACAAAACTTGAAATCTGTTTTCGATGAAACTCCAGCGTCACAGGACAATACAACGAACAACGATGGCGTCGAAACAAATCAAAATTAAATATTCGAAACCATACGGATATGTTTCTTTGTTTATATTTTGCCAATACTATTATAACATTATCGAATGAACAATTGCTTATTCCGATGTCAACACTAAACGCAGAAATTGTGCGTTTAAACGCGTTTTTCTTGTGAAACGCGACTGGACTCAGTCAAAAGACAATAAAAACCACGTCTGCACGCGATTTTGCACAGACCGCATCTAAACACGACTGGACTAAGACTTCAAGCGCATCTTAACGTGTTTTGATTTGGAATCGCGCCTCTAGTGAAACATTTCTTGCGTCTAGACGTGGTTTTACTTGC